AGAGAGAGAGAGAGAGAGAGAGAGAGAGAGAGAGAGAGAGAGAGAGAGAGAGAAAGAGAGAGAGAGAGAGAGAGAAAGAGAGAGAAAGAGAGGGAAAGAAAGAGGAAATCCAGAGGAGGAGGTCCTGCCCAAGTTTCAGCTCCGCTGATCCAAGTAAGGGGGAGTGAGAAACCTCGCTCGGGAGTATGGGGATAATTGTTGGATAGTTTGATTATCGGATTGGCCCCCAATCCCTTGTCGTTGTTCTATTTTATTTCTGTTTTCTCTGCTCTGTTCCTTGTTGAAAATAATAAATGATTATGTAACCCCAATCCCTTGCCGTTGTTTTGTCTTATTTTCTGGTTGCTCTACTTTATTCTTTGTTGGAAATAATAAATGATTACGTCATTAACAATGAATAAGTTTTAATATGAATAAGAATGTCCTTTGTGAATTCCTATGCGGACCTTATGAGGAGTATTTATGACATGACTATGTGAAATACGGACAAAAGACATGAGACCTAAAAAATGGACTATTGAGACAAGCTGTGATCATACTTTTTTACTCAAAAAAAGTCTTTTAAAATCATACGAAATCCTAAACCAATACACCCCCCTTAATTTTAGGGGTAAATAATCTCTCCCCTTTATCATATATTTATAAAAATATTTGATTAACAAGATTAAATGATATACTAGTTTTTATATTCCATTTAAGTATTTTTTTATAATTTATATCTATTGATTAGGAAAGTAATATTTTTAATATATATTACATTTTATTAATACAATATTTCATATTATTGTTATCAATATTAATTAATATATAATATATAATAAATAAATATTATATAAAAATCACTTTATTTTTTATAAATAATATATTACCATTTTATAATTTTAATTAATAAAAATTACATTAGAAAGTATATTATTAGCATTCTTATTACAGTAGCGTCGACCGCAAATTTCATGTTTCATATTTGCACAAAAAGGCAGTAACGTTAAACCAATTTTTTTCTTAAAATAAAAAGGAAAAAGGAAAGCCTAGAGAAATGGACTGGGCCGAGAGGCCCAATATTTCCCGCGTAGTAACTAGTAAGAAAAGCAGTTAACAATACAATAAACCAGTTTAGGTCTTTGGTCATGTCATGCTCGCTGCTGCATAAACCTTTGGAGATAGCTAGCTAGGGTTTTATCATCATCCCCCATGGAAGGCATCGAAATGGAGGATCCCGCATTCGCCATAGACGAAACCAGCGATGATTTCTGCAACTCAATCCTCCATCGCTTCGCCAACTCCACCGATGAAAGCCACCAGCACCTCTGCGCCGTCATCGGCGCCATGTCGCAGGAGCTCAAAGACAACAACAAACCCTCCACTCCGTTCGCCTACTTCTGCGCCGCGTGCTTCTCTCTCCACAAATTCACGTCCGAACCCAATCCCTCGGGCCACGTCATCGACGCGCTTCTCACCATTCTCTCTCTCGTCATTCCCAGAGTCCCCGTCGCGCTCCTGAAGAAGCAGAGAGAGTCACTGTCGGAGCTCCTTTTGCGAGTCCTCCGCTCTCCGTCGGCGTCCGAGAGCGCGCTTGTTTCCGGATTGAAGTGCCTCTCGCATTTGTTGATCGCCAGAGAAACTGTCGAATGGACCGACGTGTCTCCTTTGTTCAATGTCTTGCTAGGGTTTCTTACTGATTCGCGACCTAAGGCACTTACTTACCTCTAAATTTTCCATCTGATTTTGAATTTCGATTTGTCTTTCTCACTCTGAGGGGAAGTGTGTGAATAATGTGAT